TCTCCTCGTATCTGCTGAGACGGCAGGACTTCCAGCCGTGACTCCCATCCCCAGCGCCTCCTGGGTCCTAGCGAGTGCAGAGCAGGGTGGGGGACTCCCTGCCCGGGGTTGGAGCAGTTCCCAGCTGGGGGGGGGGCACGTTGGAGACCATCCACCTCTACCTGCCTAAGGCTCTGGGAGGGAGTTTGGAGGCAGGATCTGGGCTGAGGCAAGAGACTGGGGTGGGAATTTGGCGACAGGAGGGGGTGCAGGCTCTGGGAGCTTGGGGGATTTTCAGCAAAGACAGTGTATTTATAAAAACGTATTTAACCCCCTGCTATTTAACTGGAAACTCCCCCACACACCTGTTATAAAGTCTAATTAAGTTTGTTTTGCATGATCACTCAGCCCCGAGAGTTGTTAAGCAAAACAAAACAAAACACCGTGGCCGCTTTAAAAATCAAGTGGTGAGGCTTTTTCGCCTGCCATCTTGCCTCCCTGTGCCTGGCCAGACAGTTCCCCTGCGGTTTTTAAAGGGACCATGGTGTTGCTTAACAACTCTTGGGGTCCTTTTTTTTTCCCCCAACAAATTTTTCCTGGCGTGGGTTTTTTTTTTTTAATTATTTTTGGTCGGTATTTTTTTCTGAAATCACTTGGCAACCCTATCAAATACAGAAGGTATATGAAGAAACTAGAGAGAATCCAGCCTGACCAAGACAATTAAGTTGATTCAAACAGGCAAAGCAGAAAATGATTGGAACCCATGAGAATGGGGTTCCAAGAGATAATCGAGAGCAGTGATACTTAGCCTTGAAGATCAGGAGAGCCCTTATGGACTCAATGAAGTTAGAGTTGCTGCTTGTTGTGTCATGACAGTGTTTTTATGAGTCATTTATGCCATGACACAGATATCACAATTGGAGGAAGTTCTGCTATAATTGTTTAATGGCTCCAGTTAATGCAGTATTCAGGGTGTACAGATCCACTTTGCCATCTTTACAATTTCTCAATCCTAGGGCCAACTAGCAGCTAATTCAACTTAGAAGAGCCTTTGGGCACCTGTAAATTGAACCTGGCTCCCAAGACAATTTCAGGGGGCCGTTCCAGAAGATTAGGGTCAGGAGGGTGCATGCAGAAGGGCTTTGGCAATATTCTTAACCCCATTTGCACTCCTTATCCAAGAGGCTCTGAGGAAGATGAGTACAACGTACTTATGCTCAATCTGTACATGCTGATTATTTCCCCGTTTGGGGAATCCTCAGGAGGCTAAGTAAAGCTGTCTTTACAGTTCCTTTATGCCTGGTGCAAAGGTTGTATCAGGGTGAGGATTTGGCCCATTATCCTTCCCTTTGTGCTACTGGCAGGGTGGCATTTCTTTATCTTTTTTGCCCCCTTCCACTTAGCTGCTAGGAAAAGTGTGTGCATTTTTTTACTTTTCTCCCTCTCATTTCTGCCAGTTGCTAAATGCCAGAGAAGGATTCCAGAGGTCAAAGAGCCCCGGTTTAAACATTAATAGTATGGATTATATAAACTTCTGCAATACAATATCAAGGTTCTCAAAATATGTTCTTGCACCCCTTTTTAAAAATAGTTGAAGTAGGTCAGTTTTAAACCTAAGATATATCATAAAAATCTGGCATGTCTCGCACCCCCAGAAAGGGCATCTCTCACCGCCAGGAGGTGCGTGCACTCTAAGGGTATGTCTACACTACCACCCTAGTTCGAACTAGGGTGGTAGTGTAGACATACCCTAAGGGAAAATATTAAAGATTTCAAAATGCACCAGGAACATCAAACCTGTACTTGTGAAAAGCTGATGAGGCCTTATGGACTTGAATTTACCTAATGTAGGTAAGACTTGTAATTAAGGGGTCACAAATGACTCAGGCTATGTCTATACTACAATGATCTATCAGAAAAAAGTATGCAAATTGCACTCTGCAATTTGCGTACCTTTTTCCGATAGTTTTTTCGGAAGAGGCTTTTCTGAAATTTGGCCCATCTACACTGGGCCAAATTTTGGAAAATCCTCTTCTTTCAGAAGAGCCCTTCTTCTTCGTGGGAGGAGGAAGACAGGACTTTGAAAGAGCGCATCTGCTCTTCCACAAAAAAAAAAAGAAGAGCAGACGTATTCCCTGGATGTAGCGGAGTTTTTCTGGGATACCTCTGGTATCCTGGAAAAAACCCATAGTGTAGACATAGCCTCAGTTGGTGAACTGGACGCAGAAAAAATGCCCAGTTAATCAAGAAAATGTCGACTTGGCTGAGATACAAATGGTTTCTTCTTACCACTAAAGGTACTGCAAGAGGCGCTTTCCTACAGAAGGTAAGACATTGCAGAAATCTTTGCTTAGTAAACATGTAGAATGACCTGTGAAATCCTGGAACATGTCATGTTGAAGTTCATTCCAACCTTAAAATGGGAATGCAAAGATCCAGTTGAAGCATGGTCTTATTCATGGTTACAAAATGCAGCACACTATTTTTAAATATATGTAATTACCAAATGTGAACACATCAAGGCTTTATACAAGAGAGATGCAATGCTGTTAATGAAAATGAGCGAGTCTTTGGTTTAAAAGAGGCAGCAGCCATGACACTATTGAAGAAAAGTACCAAATAGAAGAAACTGAGTCCATGAATGGAAAGTGAAACAGGGTCAGTAAAACAGTACCTAAGGCACCTCTTTCTTTTATAGTCATCTTTGCTACACTCCTAAAGGCTTCCAAGTAATACTTATAAAACTGCACACAATAAGGAATGTGAAGGTGAAACAGCGAAGGACCAAAGCATACTTATTCGCAGTTAAATTTCCCATCTGATGTTAGGAGGGAAATATGCTTTCCCAAACCAGAAGGATGTAATGGACAGAGCTAGGAAAAAGCTGACTTCAGAAGAGTGCTAAACATCCTATGACCTTAACGTTGTAAATGTCATGATTTCAGCTATTTAAGTCTGAAATTTCATAGTGGTGTAATTGGAGGGGTCTGGACCCAAAAGGAATTCTGTGGGGTTGCAAAGTTATTTTGGAGTGAAGGGGTGGTACTGCTACCTTTACTTCTGCACTGTTGCTGGTGATGGCACTGCCTTCAAAGCTGGGCTGCTAGAGAGCGATAGCTTCTGGCCTGGGTTCCAGCTCTAAAGGCAGAACTGCCATGAGCAGCAATGCAGAAGGATGGCATAGTTTGTTATTGCCACCTGCTGGTGGGGCACTGCTTTCAGAGCTGGGCATTCGCCAACAGCCACCACTTTCCAGCCACGCTTCTCAGAAGTCAGCATAGAAGAAAAGATGGCAATACTGTGACTCCCTTTAAATAACTTTGTGACCCCTCCCCCTCCTCTGCAGTTCCTTTTTGGGTCAGGACCCCCAATTTGAGAAATGCTGGTCTCTCCCATGAAATCTATGTAATATACGGTAAAAGGACACAAAAGACCAGATTTCTCATGCCCTGCATGAATACAAATGTGGATCTGCAGATACAGATATCTGCAGATATAAATTAGTATCCATAGAACCTCAGGGCTGTCCCAGGAATTGAAAGGAGCAAAATAGGCAGTTGCTGCTCCCATGAGCCAGCACTGGTAGATTCTTTAGTGTGGCTGTACTGCCCCCAGCCCTGTGCATATGCCTCTGGACAGGAGCATATAAAGCTGTGTGGAAAGAACTGAGGCAGGGCTGATGATGGTATAGCTGTGCCAGAGGAGTTACCAGCATGGGGCACTGGTTCCTGGGAGCAGTGGCCCCATCTTCTGCTCCTTTTGCCACTGTAGTTCTGCAGATGCTAATTTATATCCATTGGTATCTGCATCCATGAATACAGATTTGAATTTGTGCAGAGCTCTACAAATTTCACAGTAGGAAACCAGATTCCATAGTCCATGGCATATTTTTCCATGGTTCTGAATTTGGCAGGACCCTACTCCTGAATCACAAGCCAAAATCTGGAGTAAAAAGCTAGGGAGTGAGGCACTGGTAGTTCCTATGATGCCCAATTGTCTTCTCCAGCTTCAAGACAGGAGAACAACAGTGCAAGGTATACTTGCCTCAGTGGAGACCATTGTTCAGTAGGCACAATAAAGGTTATCCTGGCAAAACCTAGAGTGACCATTGTAACGGCAAAAGGAATTAACTTGTATCTGTCGCCAATACAGTGAGGCTCTTCATTTGACTGGATGTTATTGGGCAGTAATTATACTCTAGCCACCACATCATAGCCAAATTAAGTCTTTAATTTAAATACTTTTTTGATTCCCCCTACCCCGCAGCTCCAAATAAAAATCCTCTCTACTGCTTCCCTGTTACCGGAGGCAGTGTGAGAATGAGTTTTGACCATATTGAGCCAATTCTTGTTGTACTAGGGAATTAAATGAATTTCTAAGCACTAAACCTTTGGGGGAACTGCATTTAACTGGGCCTGCTTTTTGATTGATGAGCTATGTGTAAAATGTGTAGAGCTCTGCATGGATAAAACATTTGTATTCACATCTGCAAAATGATCCATGGTTATCTGAATCCACATTTGCAGATGTGGATGTAAAGTGGAAATCTGCAAATTTGCAGGTTCTAGATACAAAATTTGTATCTGCATCCACATCCGTATTTGTAAAAAACTGAGCCATGGATATCCACATTTCCATCTGGATATGGTTATCTGCGACTTAAAGCAGATATAAAGTCTCAAAAGGTATACAGAAAAATTGAATCATTTTTCAATAAATCTGACCCGAACTTCATGTAACACAAACATTTAAGTTTCTCAGATGGCTTTAGGAGTATCACACTAAATCTTCAGTAGCCAGAATGCTGGTTACATTTTAATGAATATTAGTTAAAAACTGTACAATACTTAGTGTTCATGATAAATGCATGTATGATTGTTACACTTTTTGCATTCATTAAGAAAGCACATCCGGCTTCTCTTTAGAAGATGTACCACATTTCAGTATTTAAATTGCACTGCACTTGTGCTCAAACAATGTTTTCCTTGTTTCTCTATTTTTACCATGTTTTCTGCCCTCAGATATGGCCCATTTCCTGTTCCCTCGGAGCTACCTTTGGCTACGTGGCTGGCCTCATTATTGCACCTCTGTGGATATACTGGAATCGGAAGCAGCTTACATATAAGAGCAGATAACTGGGGCAAAGAGAAAGTATTTCTTTGTGCAGATTCCATAAAGACTGGACAGAAATGTTTGTGGTCAGACCAAGAGACTACTGAAATCAATTCAATGTTTTTAGGTCGAGTATTTCCACTTACAGCATTATATGCTGCTGTTGTTGCCTGTGCTAAACTTCTTAACCCCTGAGAAATTGTACCTTACAGTTCAAATAAAGTATTTGTAAAAGATGGTGGCTGCTTCTTACTAGAGTTTGGTTGGTTTTAGTTTTCTTCCTCTGGATTTCATTGATTTCAGAGGTTAAATACCCAAGTTTAGCTTACAAACTTCTATGTTCTGCACCCTTATGTATTATATCATTTACATTTTGATAGAAATTCACAGTAGGCATGGCCATTGTCAAATGTCTCTCACGTGATCAAACAGCAGTTAATGCATCTTGATCCTATTCTTTTTTTCACTGTATGTTTCTTTGGAGTTAAAATGGCTATTATAGCTTCATCAAAAACAGTCTTCAGTCCTTTTTGCGTTAAAGCTGAACACTCCACATAGCAGCAGGCTCCTATCTGTCAAAAAAAAAATTAATAGCTGTATATTCAGATTTATTCATTAGCTCTTGAGGTTTTTTTGTTTGCATATTGAAACACTCCCAAAGTCATGTTTGACCTAGAAAAGTTATCCCAATATTTTTCTTATTCTGGAAAGAAAATTACTCCTTTCCTTGGTCTTTTGGCAATAGTTTTTGAATTCATTTAGTTAGGTTCTGTTTCTGAAAAAAGCATGTTACGAGCACTTGTTTTGAATTGACTGTATACTCTTAAACACTTCAGCTAAATAACCTAACAAGAAGAAAAAATTACATGGCCAACTTGTAGATTCATTTCTGAAAATGGGCTGTAAATAAAAATGTGTAACATCTACCTGACTTAAAAAAGTTAGTATTTTGTAATGATTAAAGGTCATCTAGTACATCCCCTCCCTATTTTAATTAATTATCCAATTCATAATAATTATTCACTTCCATATTGAAAAGATTTACACAGTTATTGAAAGGAAAACACCTAAGTGAGTCTGCTTGTTCACAGTATTTAACATAGCGGTTTTATAAAATAAGTATGATACTAGCTAATAAAGAGAAAAACTGCAGTCAAGACAGAGCACTTCTCTCCCCTCACCCGAGTGTCCCCTTTACCTCTTTTGCTAACTTCTGTCCCTGCTCCGCAGATATAGGCTTCTCCTTCATATCATTCAATCTTGCTAAAGTTTTTGGATCATCACGAAGATCAATCTAGTAGGAAAGATGGTAGATAGATAGAAATTGAGCCATATCATGCCTTCATGGGGAATTTGGATGAGGCCTTAACACTGAAGACATACATCAGGTTCCCAAATCCTGATTATCCAAAAAGATGGGTTATTTATTCCCAGCTATTTTTCCTTAACTTAAGTGTGACTGCTCCAGAATCACCAATTAACACAGCAATGGTAGAATTAATCAATACATATTGGGGAAGCTTGAGCTGCTTCTGTTTAGACTATAATCCTGTAAGAATCCATGGGACTAGAACCTGGTACTCAGGACTTTAGGTTGCTATTAAGAGGCCATTCAGCACTACATCCAAGGAGCACTGTGGAGATAGGGACCTCAGAAAGTACTGCTGCCAGGAAGGGCCAAATTAAGAAAGGAGTTTTAGGGGTTACAGACCAGGGCCCCAGGCTAATGGGGTCCCCACAAAAAAGATCTCCAGGCCACCAAACTGCAGATCTTTTCCAGAGCCCTGAGTTGCAGCCACTAAAGTCCCTGCATTCTGACTCTGCCTGGAAGGAGAATGCAACTCCACATGCTGCTGTTCCTCCTGGGGATGTTAACTAGTGTGTAATTGTGTGAATGTGTAAACACGAGCACCAGCTGCTGCCTGCCTTCCCTCCCCTGCTGCCTCTGATAAAGAGGCAACAGTGCAGGAAGCAGACAGCTCTGCAGGAGCCAATACGCACAGGGAGCCGGCTTGAAAGCTGCTTCCCACGTG